AGCTGGCAAAGCGCTCAGCTGTGAGCAGAGTTTTCACCCCGGACCTGTCCAATCAGACCTCACTCGTAGACTGGAGGATCATCCGGAGGCCACGTTACCAGTCTACCAGTCGTGCTGGCTGAGCGCAGCCCAGATGTGCCAGGAGCTGCAGGTGAGTCGCTTGTCCTTCACTCCCACCCTCCCCGCCCAATCCAACAGGTCCGCCAGGCTCAGCTCTGAAGGGCCGGGTGGGTCCACGTCCAGCCTCACCTGGACAGCGGCACCTGGCTACCGAGGCTTCCTTACTATTTGAACTCCCGCCCCAGCCCGCGCCTGTTCCATCCCTTCTTTCTGCCTTCCCTTCTAAAATGGGAGCTCCGCTGTGTGCTGGGAACAGGTCCAAAACATCTGCTCTCCGGGAAACTTGGAGGGACAGGAGTGCCAAATGTCTTCACAGGCGGTGGACACCTAACGGGGTGGGAGTGAGCAGGGGTGCTCTCTAGTTCTTAATGATTCATTAGCACTTCAATTAAAAGTCATGATTAATTATTCTTATTTTTGAACCAGAGGGTCAAAACCTAAGGGAGGAGGGAGAAGAAAATGGAGTGTGAGTGACGATCAGACTAGCATGCGAGCGAGTTGGGAGGAAACGGTGCGCCTGGGTCGCCTAGAGCACCCTCCACCACGTGCTCACACCCCCGGAGAACACGCCCGGGGAGGCCTGTGAAGCTGCTGCAAGTGAAAGAAGAGGGAGGAATGGAAATCATCTTGTTGGAAGGAACTCAGACCCGGTTACCACCACCTCTGCTTCTCTGAACTTTTCCTTCTGGTCTCCAGTGACCAGGACGGCCTCACCACCCCCCTTCCTTGCATTCGGCCCAAAGTCATCTTCGTCTCTTTCTTCTCCCCACCCTAGATCGTCCTCTCTCTTTACCCAACCCCTCCACCCACCAAGTAGCAGCGAGGCATTCAAAGCGCGCACCTCCCGGGCTAGGGATCTCAATTACAAAGTGTGGGTGCAGAAGTCTGGGAAGGGCCACCGCGAGCGGCAGCGTGTCCTGGACCTGTTCCCGGCTTGGACTGCACCTGAGCGTTTTCCTTCCGCGACCCCCTCTCCTACCAGCCTCCTTGCTCTTTCGCTCGTGCTCTGCAGCAGCGCACTCCCGGCTTGCTAGCCGCGGGAGGGAGAACACACACAGGGTGGAGAGAGCCGGGGTGCTCCGGTGGAAGGCACCCTCCACCCCGAAGTCCGGGAAAGCCCGGCCGACCACAGGGACCGTGCCACCGCCCTCGCGGGTCCCAGACTTCTGGCCTGTCTTCAACTTCGCGGTGCGCTCAGGCAGCAGCAGCCAGGATGGAGCTGCCTTGTCGCCGCCGGGTGCCGCCAGGCTCTCCTCTGCTACACAGCGGCTCCCTATCCTCCCTGGAGTCCAGCGTCTTCTGTAGCGAGGGCGAAGGGGAGCCCTTGGCGCTGGGAGACTGCTTCACGGTCAACGTGGGCGGCAGCCGCTTTGTGCTCTCGCAGCAGGTGCTTTCTTGTTTCCCGCACACGCGCCTTGGCAAACTGGCAGTGGTGGTGGCCTCCTACCGCCGCCCCGGTGGCCTGGCCGCCGTGCCCAGCCCTCTGGAGCTCTGCGACGACGCCAACCCGGTAGACAACGAGTACTTCTTTGACCGAAGCTCGCAGGCGTTCCGCTATGTCCTGCACTACTACCGCACGGGCCGCCTGCACGTCATGGAGCAGCTGTGTGCCCTCTCCTTCCTTCAGGAGATCCAGTACTGGGGCATCGACGAACTCAGCATCGACTCTTGCTGCAGGGACAGGTACTCGGGAGACAAGTGGCTGGGCGGGTAGGGGGTGCACAGGTAAAAGTCTGAGGCTTTACACAAACTATGCTGAACCCAGGCCTAAGAACAGGTGTGGTCACTTCTGGGCAGAAAGGTGGGGTGGAGGGAGGAGCTGGAAATGATTAAAGTCAACTTTCAGAATGGAACTTTCTCAACCTTCTTGTCCCCTTTTTCGAGTGAGTGTATAATAATGTCTTGTGTATGGTGAGGAAGTTCAGGCTCATGATAAATATTTGGTGACTGAATGAATGAATTTGGCAAGCTGTGTTCCAACATGCAGGGATTGAGATGAAGGTTGTGGTGTGGAGCATTATCGTTCATCACACCTAGGACACTCACTTTTAAAAACTTGGGTGGAGAACTGTTAAACACTGAAGATAGCAAGTCGATCTTAAACACTGAAGATAGCAAGTCGATCTCTTGACTGAATGATTGTGGGATTTTGAGGGTGATTTTGCTGTTATCTACGATTACTACCATTTCTTCATGAATACCTTTTCTTTCCACATTAAAAAAAGTTCCATATCACAAGCATTGTTTTGTTACCAAAACCTAAGCAATAAAATGCATAAATCCAAAGTAGCTTTACTATAAATAAATTCTTTAGTATGAAGTTCTACCAAGAAAGTCATTCTTAACAGTCATAGACTACATAAGAAATTATGAATAATGTGAGCAGAGGACAACTGGGTAAAATGTGAATAGACTATTGAAAAGTATGACCACATTGCCAAATTTAATTCTCTTCTACTTCTGTATTTAAAAAAAAAGTTAGACTAATCACCAAGTTGTCTTCTCTAAAAGATACTTCAGAAGAAAGGAGCTGAGTGAAACTTTAGACTTTAAGAAGGACACAGAAGACCAGGAAAGTCAACATGAGAGTGAACAGGACTTCTCACAAGGACCTTGTCCCACTGTCCGTCAGAAGCTCTGGAATATCCTGGAGAAACCTGGGTCTTCCACAGCTGCCAGAATCTTTGGCGTCATCTCCATCATCTTCGTGGTGGTGTCCATAGTCAACATGGCACTCATGTCAGCTGAGTTGAGCTGGCTGGACCTGCAGTTGCTGGAAATCCTTGAGTATGTGTGCATTAGCTGGTTCACTGGGGAGTTTGTCCTGCGCTTCCTGTGTGTGCGGGACAGGTGCCGCTTCCTGAGAAAGGTGCCAAACATCATAGATCTCCTGGCCATCTTGCCCTTCTACATCACTCTTCTAGTAGAGAGCCTGAGTGGAAGTGAGACCACACAGGAGCTGGAAAACGTGGGGCGCATCGTCCAGGTTTTGAGACTGCTCAGGGCTCTGCGCATGCTAAAGCTGGGCAGACACTCCACAGGTATTCACAATTCATTAACGTCTTTTATTACGTCTTTTGTTTGCTACTTTTATTTTTTTAATTTCTTATTCCTATTTAATTAGTGTTTTCTCCATGCCACACAATATGGCTTTTCAGACTATACATGTAGCACATGAAAATCAAATCAAGGATATTACCATATACATCATTCTAATCAGAGAATTTGACATTTTTATGTTTGTTAAATTCTTCTTTCTGAGCCCCTCTCATCTACCATCTGCTATTCACTCACCTCCTCCCCTACACTCTGGTGTCTACACTTGTCTTCCCTACCATTGTATCTTCAATTTTTTCCCATTCTGCCATACAGTGCAGATATTCAGTATATAGCGAGTGGGGACATACAGTATTTGTCTTTCAGAATCTGGCTTACTTCACTTAGCATTAAATCTTCTATATTCATTCACTTTGTTTCAAATCACAGCGTCTCATTATTCCTTATGGGTGAGTAATATTCCATAATGTACATATGCCACAGTTTTTCAATTCAATCATCAGTCTTTGAGCACTTTTAATTTGCTATTGTTTGTAAGCATTAGTGATTTGACCATAGCACAGGAAAGTAACTTAGCTCCCATGCTTTATCTAACCATGACCTCTGAAGAGGTATTGAGACCCAAAACCTGAAAATTATTATCATAAGTATAGAGGAAAAGATGCCTCTCATACATTTTAACTCCATAATATATTCAGGAACCATTTGATCATTTGTTAACATCAGTTTTGTTTTGTTTTGCTTTTTCCAGTGCCCAGAAGATGCACAAAAATTAAAGGCACTCTGCTTCTAGAAGAGTCTAGACAAGACATGCATAAATGATACATAAAAAGATACATTGAGGACTTCAAAAAGTTGGTGGAAAAAATCCAATTAAAATACGAGTTTATTTTGATGCAAAAACATTTGAAATCCATGCACAGATTTTTTTAAAAATACGCATTTTCCATGAACTTTTTACCTTGTATACATAATTTACGTATGACATATTGGAATATATTCCAGTTTCTCTTTTGTGTCCTAGAAGTGCTGGCCACATATATTCCTTAGCAGGCGGGAAAGTGAGCCCTCAAGAGCCTTTCCTGGCCATGCATAGATTTGACCAGGTGCTGGAATCCTTTCTGTAATTTTAGAAGAAGCATTTAAAATATTTTCCTTCGGCCTAGTAGGGTTCTAGTCCAAGCTAAAGGCCAGGCATGGCATTTGTGTGCCTGTAAATCCAGTAATTTAGGAGACTGAGGCAGGAGGTTACGGGGTTGCAGGTTTGCCTGGGAAACATACCAAGACCCTGTCTGGAAAAAAAAAAAAAAAAGTTATTATCTGATGATTTTCTGTTTCCAAACTTCGCATCCACGGGAGACAGAGGTTAACAGAAATTTCTTTGTTATTTGTGTGTTGTAGAGCCCTCGAAAATCTAACAAACATTCCCAAGAAAAATCTTTACAGACATAGACACACACTCACTTACACAACTGTACTTGGAAATTATATTCAGTGTTAATGGAAATCACACAGACTGATTACAGAAGTTCTTCCATCTCTGTCAGTCATGGTTTTCGGTGTCTGACACTGCAGCTCTTGGGCATTTTAGAGTACATATGCATTACCTTATGCTAGATGGTAATAAAAAAATAATCCCCAGACAAGTGTGCTGAAATGTGGATTCTGAGCCTCAAATCCCAGAGTCAAATTTTAGTATTTGAAGTAGGATCCAGAAGTATACATTTTAACAAGCTCATAGGTGATTTCATTGTAGATCTTTCTTGGTCCACACTTTGAGGAACACTGGAGTAAGTTGCCATGTTGATACATATGGGATAAAATACACAAAAGGGAGCTTCAAAAAGTTTGTGGAAAGTGGCTATGAAATATAAGTTCGTTTTTCTACAAAAAAATTTTGAAGTTATGACTAGTTTTTCATAAAATGTATTTTCCATAAGCTTTTTGAAGACCATCATATTAATAAAATTACCTATTAGTGCAAACAAGATGGCTAGAGATTCCTACTCTCACTTTATT